CCACGGGTCAGAGTGCATTTACCAATTTATAATGTACCCTCCTTCCTCTCAGAAGTTACCATCTTTAAATGCATGCAATTGGCAAGAATGACTTTACTGAACAAACTGAAATCAAAACATCCACAATTTACAGAGAAAACGCTCAGCTGGCCTCTCCCACAGATAGAGGAGATGTCTCCATGTTTAGATCTGGAGGAAAAGCTAGCTCCTCTTCCCTTCTAAAAATCCAGGGCCAGATCCTCAGTGTATCTTCAACAAAGCTACACCAGATTACGTCAGCTGAGGATCTGGGAAGACCACAGGCCCTTACTTTTACCCACATACTGTAATCTTGTTTGAAAGGCAGAGAGAAAGAGACTCTTTGCACAAGGAGTCAGAAATTGCTCTATATGTTCAGCACCAGTGCAAAAAACGCATTAGCATTTAGCAGCAGGAGCTTGGGACCACTGGCGCCAAGGGAATAATAGCATGCATTGATGCTAAGTTTTTATTAGAACTTGTGTGCACTTATCTACACCACACCGATTTCTAACATCCTCATATCTGTGAATGCATAAAAGATGACATATTGTTTTCTTAAGAGGCATTGTTCCACACTTCTGCTGTGAAAGTATGAGAGGTTTGGCTGATGGACTACTCAAAAAAAACAAAACCACACAGCTCCCGAGCTCAGGCAAACAAGAGTTTCAGTCTAAAACATGAAATGGAAATTTTGACAACCGGTGTATTGAAGATGGAACTTTATAGATTGATAATTATATGCCACAATATAAAAAGGGCCTTTTTCTCCTGCAAATGCCATTTGCCTTAGAAACAGAATCTTATTTTTTAAAGAAGACAATAAAACTGACATAATAAAACAAAATGCTTACAAATTAAACCAAAGGTTTTTTTTTTTTTTTAATTCAAACATATAGATTGGTAAAGGAAAACTCATTTAAATCATTTCCTTAGTAATACAAGTAATATTTAAATAGATTTAATAGTGCTGCTCCAAGCCAATGAATTATGAGTTTAAAACCTATTAAAATGTAATGTTTTTTTCCTGAGCTGAGGGGAGAGAGATTTAAATCCACTGAATTTTAATATTTCAGCTTGAGCTGCAGGAGGTAGAGAAAGTCCAAATGAACTATTCCATCAGCACCATTCAAGCATGAACATTTTAATCAGTTTTACTTCCTTGGAGTTCTCTAACACAGTTTACGCTGTCATTCTGAAAGCACTTAACACAGAGAGTGTGAAAAACCACCAAGGCTTGTTATTGCCTTCACAATTGATGGCAAATAATTTTGCAGACTTCCTATCATTAAAATGTCACTGCTAAAAATGGAGGTTCAGCATATCTTGTGCTAAACTGCTTTTCTTTGAACACCATCACATACCTGTCTTAAGTTTTTGGTACATTTTTCTCTCACTCTGTAATAGACAGGCATATGAACAGTAGCCTCCATTTCTGCCTTACTACCTATGTGCAGCTGAACATATATACAATTTTAAATATGCATATTAAAAGAAACTCAAACAAGAAAAAAATAATTACTCTGATTACCCATTAGTTGCTTTTCCCTTTATTAAAATGTAACCACATTCACACAGCATGTTCTGATTATACAAAATAATGGATAAAATATTTTAAGGAAGTCAGATGACTGTTTAATAATACAGGAAATGAACATATTATTCCTAATTAGATCATATTACTGATTTAAGACCACAATGTGTATTGTTCCAACAGTATGATCTTGCCATATTTAATGTAAAAAAAACCTGACAGTGACACATGACAAGATCAACTGGAAACATAATATTCCTTATCCCAGCAGCATGAACTTGGAAGGGTTCAAATTGTTCAAGAGAACTGACTCAAAATAAGATCTCTAATTAGCAGTATAGACTATTGCAAACATCGGTTACAAAGTCTGCATTCATTAGTTTTTAAAATACTTTGGCATATGCAGGATATCTAGGTACTTTGTCCTCCCCACTCCAGCCTTCAATTTCTTTAAAAAAATAATAATAATTTAACTTGTTTCAATCTGTCAACAGTTTTAAACTGAACATGACCTGTGAAAGAAGTCATTATAACCATGTTTCATTCCATTAAACACAACTAGTTTATTGTCAAGAGAACAAGCAGTCTCTCCAGGTTCCAGGCTCACATCAGTATTTTGCATTTAAACTGCATGGATCAGTGGTTTGGTTCATTTACCAATGAAGATAGCATAATACTGCAAAGTTAAAAAGGTGCTTCATCAGATTTCATTAAATCTGAGTACATGTGTGTAAAATATATACATGAGACTCAAAAGAGAGAAACACATATAATTTGTGTATGCTCATTTTTTCTTGTGCCATCTTTAACTCTCAGAGGATCCAGTTCTGAAATCCTAAATCACTATCCACTGTTGCAACCAAAAAATGGTTTTTGCTCTGGGCTCTCATTCTACAGTAAGCATCTACGGTGCCCTCAGTATACATAAACTTTGTGTTATCCACAATTATATTTTAAAAGCTCTAAGCCCAGCACAACTTCAGCTCAGAACTAACTGGTTATTAAGAGATAATTTAAAAAAAAAAAAAAAAAATATGTGCAATACAAATGTACGGAGTAGTGAATCCTTTGAATTACACCACAATGTAACAACAGGAACTCCAGCAGGTGTAGCAAACAGTAAACCAACATAAGACAGAGCGTAATTAGTTTTTTTCTTTTTAAAAAACCAAATATGTTCTAATTATGTTCTTTGCTTTTTTTATTTATATGCATTTTAAGCGTGCCAGAGTTTTTCTAGGGCTAGCGCTACAGCTCAAATTTTGCTTTTATCTTCTGTTCAAGTGTACCCAGAGAGATTTATTCTTGGATATCCATACAACTAACAGTTATGCTGCTTTGATAATTTGCTATCCTACTGAATCAGTTTTCCTAATAAATCGCCTAAAGATTATACCAGATTACTTTTTACATAATATGAACAAACAAGAATTTTTCACTAAATAATACTGCATATATTCATCATAAATTATAAGCGATCCACATAAAATATCCCCATGTTTCCAATTCAGAAGAGTGTACAAAAGAAATACAGCACGTACAAATTATTTTTTGTGGGGAAGGTAAAAGGAGAGTTATTTTCAGGCCACAAATTACAGCCTTTATGAAATCTGGGTGAGGTAGAATTTCAAAATCAATCCATCAGTCTGTAAAAAGTATCAGAGAGCCTTGGACAAATAGGAAATTTAGTTCTATCCTTTAGAAAAGAAGAGGCCCAAACTCTTGAATAAGCATTCAGTCCATTTGTTCATTTTTGTTTGTATGTTTTATTGGTTCATGGAAAGCAGGATAAACTTTAAATAAGCAAAATCTGCAACATCTGTAATAATGCCACAAATTCTACATTAATACCTGACTTTCTAGTAGAAAGCAAAACTTATTACAGACTCTTCAATAAATGTAATGTTGAGTGGCAACCATTATTTATACACATTTATAAGTAAGTATACATATACATGCAAGCACACACACCCACACACACACACACAAAATGCAATGCATACAGGCATATAGCATATACACACATCTTTTTTTTTTTAAAACCCATCCTTTCACACACATCTTTTTTTTTTAAAACCCATCCTTTCACAACTTACTTTATGCAAAGAATGTTAATATAAGGCAGTATTTTGGTTAGGTAATGAAAACTAATTGGGAAATTATTCATCTCCCACTCTCCCCACTGGAGCGTAAAAGACGTACAACAAATGTTATTCATGATTCTACACGACTCGCTCTGATTCATCCCCTTCTTTCCAAGGGGCACTTCAGAGGAAATAAAGGTTACTCTTTTCCATTTATATCTTCTAATTGACTACCAGTATATTCTTATGGTAGGAGGGATCCAAAAACAGAGTTAGAAACAGTCTATTAAAAACAAGCTACAATCAGACAACTGCTCTACACTACCGTCAGCAATGATCAGAGAGTCCCGATTTCCTTGTTAAAAGACAGAGGCATAATTGAAGCAATATCTTCACTTCAGATTGATTATTCGGCGACCCTTATCCACATCTTCACTCAGCAATTTGAATTTTAATGAAAGTAAATGGAATAATTAGCATTTCAAAGTGTGTTTGATACACTGAATAAAAAAGGAAAGACTTATGTATAATCTATACACAAAAGAAAAAGCATTTTGGAGGTGGTAGAATAAGGAAAGTACAGTTGTAGTGTGCTCATTAGAAGAGCTTAAAGAACTTCTTCCACCAGCTGCATATTTATAGATGTGAATGTTCTATTAAGCTATGATTTTTCACCTTTATTTTATGCAATGTGAACAGCTAATATTTCATTGGTTTTCCTTTTCCTCTTGATTCATAAGATGTAAACATTATGGCTACCCAAACCCATAAAAATCTCACAGGACTTCTACACTATGTTAATACTGTTTCCAGAAAAGTTTTCAGAAGAGGGGCCCTGTATTTTTTTTTAAAACAAATGGGAGCATGATATCTATCTCTTCCTTTGAGAATTGTAATTTAATATTAGACTGGGAGAGGAGAAGGGATTTTTTATTTTAAAAAAATGAGTTAGAAAACAGATATATTTGGCCTTGATGTGTAGGGGTGGGGCAGAGGCCTCATTCAGTAGCAGTGCAAATCAAAGGCTACCTATAAGGTAGTATTAGAGGCAGACTGAACAGCACTAAGCAAATGAAAAGAAGTTTTACTTTAAAAAAAAAAAGTAAAAAACAACAAGAAAAAAAGGCAATTCCCAGAGGGAAGTGTAAAGCAGTTACACTAGTCACCTTATGGGCACAGTTCAATCAGAAGTTTTTTTATATAGCAATCAGTTTTTATTCAGATTAAGTCAGACTTCCTAACTTTACTGCTGTCCACAACTTTTGCTCAGTTGATGGAGTAAATTTTTATTTTTATTTCTTAAATAAAGAAAAAAAAGAGCTAATTACAAATACTATTAGAGCTAAAATGGAAAGACCACATACCCCAATGATTGCGTTCAGTTCTGCCATGGTCACTTGCTTGGCACGTTCCACAGCCTGCACCACTTGTTGCTGGTGCTATAAATGAAGATCAGAAACAGAATAAAATTATTTGCTTTCTAGTCAATTAAGCACAGATTTTCTTTTTTTCTTCCCCCCTTTATTTTATTTTTTTAATTCTTCAACAGCATGCAGGGCTTGAAATAATGGTTCTGTGAGTAGATTGTAAAAAGCTGTATGAATGTGTAAAAGGAGAAAGAGGGGAGAATTTGATCCAAGTAACTGCCTGCCTAAAAATAAACACTACGGCCCCTCCTTTCCCAAAGTGAAGTGCTCCAAGACTGACTTTTTTTTTTTAATTGATCAGGGCAGTGTGTGGTTCTGTCAATAATAGGCTTCATCCTAAAACCCAGAACCTTTTAATCACAAACAGAATATTGTTAAATAAAATTATATGTGCTGAAAAGGAAAGGAATGCATTTCAGTAGCCACACTGCTTCCTCAGCCTGGGAAACAGAGATTCCCCTTCATGGTATGGTCCAGAGCAGTTCAATCGTGGTAAGGAAATTCAAAATTCCATTCTCACTTCTGTCAAAAATGTGACTGTTGATTATTTCAATCCCTAAAAACGTAAGTTTTAATACTTTACACAATGCCATCAAAAACATGGTCTAATTAACCCCACGGTTTATAAGCTTCAGCAGTTTTGTTATCGTGCTTTAGGTGATGCTATACTTCTGTTATCAGTTAGGGTGGCTACATTCTGAAAGTTTTAAGGAATATTTAATTGAAAGCATTGACTTAAAACAGAATCAAGTGCCAATCTTGCAATCAGATCCATATCTGAGGACCTGAATCTATCTGGAGCTGCACTGTGTTGATGAGATTGCAGAAATGGGAAGTAAATTTGTGTCATGTTTTTTGTATGCCACATTAGAAAACACACTTTGAAGATTATGGTTTCCACAGTACAGGCTAACTGTTGACTGCTCTTTATTGGCACTGAAGAGGGGAGTGCATTATTCTCTGATATACAGCCAGAGGCTGAACTGAAGATAGTATAGACAAGACCTCACATCGCAAGGATGCACCAAGTATAATGGAGTCTTCACGCTGTAGTGGAACAGGAGACTTTGAGAGGTCAGCTCTGAACTCTCTTTCAAAACTATGACCCGTATTTTATGCTGTGCAGTTGGGCTTAGCACAGTGTGGGAAATGGGGTTTGTCAGGCTCCTATTAGGGGTCATGATTTTTAGGACCAGTCTGCGTACCTAAGATATGCAAGTATGGACAGCCAGAGTACAGCACACTCCAGCTACTTCCCACCATCCCTCTTTTTCCTCCAAACATGTTCCTATATTAGGGCTGGGAGAAACAGTTGCTTCAGGAGCCAAATATACCAGCTTAAAGTGCCCCATCACAAGCAGCAATTCTCAATTGGCCAGATCCAGATGTTTCTTTACCCCTTTGTATCAGACAGCTATGTACAGAGGCTGGAATGTAGGAATATCTGGCCGTATGCCTCTGGGTACAGCTGTCTGAAATTTTTAAAAAATGTCAATGCATTTAAGTTTATATGTACACATTTTTAAGGAAAATATTTCTATTCTTATTTTTAGCAAGTTCACTTCCTCTCCCCAACCTAACCAGCTCTCATCTGTATTAAGAAAGAATATTATGGGCAGTGATAGAAAGGATCTTTACAATGGGGATGCAGCGCAGAATTAAGGTGGAGGTGGGGTTGGGGGTGGGGGGGTAGATCCTGCATAAATCCCATTTAAACAGACAAAGGGGTCTTAAACAGGGGCTTAAAAACAACCCCCAGAGAGCTCCCATCACACAGGGGAAGCAAAATGTGAGAATACAGAACATTATGCTACTCAGAGGAAAGAGAGCTACAAGGAGGAGCTCTGACAACTGTGGGAAGATACTATCAGTTATAGCAGCCCTTCCCTAAGTTGTGCCAGGGGCCATGTTGCCCTTCAGATAAGCCCAGAAATTTGAAAGGTACAAGGGGACTTTATACCATTTTGGTTTCTCTGTTCCTCTCCTAGGCTGCCTTTTCCACACTGAAAAAACAGACTCTCTCTCTCTCTCTCTCTCGGGTGTGTGTATGCATGCATTTTTTTCAGTATGTTAATTTTAACCCTAATTCAAAGGTTTTGGATCTGTGAATATTCATTTGCTTGAAGTGGTGCTGAATTTCTTTTCACTCTGCCAGGTTAGTTAGAATACAATAATTTGGAGGTAACAATTATTTCTAAAGCACTGAAAAATTATAGGAAAAAACCCACAAGATTTCCAGTGCAGCTCCGGGAAGAGCTACCAGATCAAAATTCTCTACATCAACCCTACAGTAAAGGACATGCAAGTACTAGTGTTAGGGCATGGAAAACTTAACAGTTAAAAGAGGCTTTTTAAATATCTAAGAAGCACTGAAGCTGCTATACTAAGAGCTCTGGTTTTCAGCTAAATTTTGCAAAAGCAAGTCAATCTTACAACTTACAGTACAAATGATCTCCCTCACCATGGGAGAATTCTACCTTCATGAATGACCTGGAACAAATACTGCTCTGTTTCCTGAGAAAATTCTTATCGTCAATAGTGAAGAGGAGAAAAATCTCTTGTTCTGTCCACACTCCAAAAATCTCACTTTAATTCTCTTTAGTTTTACTAACTCTCCTCTATATGAGATTTAACAGAGAAGTAAAGTCTCAGAACATCTAACTGGTAAGTCTACTCGATCAGGTCCAGACCCAAACCCCACTTAAGTCCAAGGGTACCTTTCCATTGACTTTAGTGGGTTTGGGATCAGGCCCATAGCAAGGAGAAAAGGTGCGAGCCTAGTAACGTTGAGCTCTTCATTAAATAAAGAAAGGACAATTACAATTACCCTCTTCTTAAACATCTAGATTTCACTTACATTCCATGCAAACAAACCAAAATTCACAATGGACACTGTCACTAATGCCCAAATTCTACATCTGGATAGACAGATCCTTGCACCTGCACGAAGCATCATTAATGGTTTCCCCATGCTAGCACTCCTTGCAGGATTCAAACCAAAGAGCCACTCTTCATCGAGACATCCATGAAAACAAATGTACACAAACACTAGGATAGCCGGGTTAATCTGTAACTTTAAAAACAACAAGTAGTCCTGTGGCTATTTAGAGACTAATCAAAATTTACAGAATCATGAGCTTTCCTGTACAAAACCCACTTCATCATATGAACTGGAGTGGAGCTAACAGAAACTAAGATATATATAAAAAAGCAGAAGTAGTACTTGTCAATTGTAGGATCTCTATTAATGAGGTTAATTAAGTGGGCTGGATGTGTCCCATATATGTATTATTAGCCTCATTAACAGAAGTCCTGCAATTGACAGACACTTCTTCTGCTGTTATATATATCTTGGTTTCTGTTAGTTCCAGTGATGATAAAGTGATTTTTGCCAATGAAAGCTCATGGTTCCGTATATTTTGGTTCATCTCTAAGGTGCCACAGGACTACACGTTTACACACACACACACATACACACACACACACACACACAGTATAAAATCATCTAGTATTATATAAAAATCTAAGACACAATGGTCTATCTTATTTTTAATCTCTGACAGCTGACAGGAATATATTAATTTTAAGAAGTTTCCCCACAGAACTTCATTCAAAAGAAAACCAGTGCTGTACTAGCATCTCCAGTCACATTTAACTAATATATGTGTCAAGTGTAATGGGTAGTTTAAGTCTGCCAGTATCAGAAAATCGAATTAACTCATCATGTACTAGCAATTTCTTGTATTTATCTAGACAGTTACATGAACCCCTGATCTCTGTAGTTCTGACCATTTCAAACACATTTAAGAATTTTATCTTCATATCACCCTGGTGATGCAGGGAAAGATTATTATCCCCATTGTACAGATGATGACTTGAGCCACAGAGATTAGTTATGTTGGCAGGGGTCGTACAAGTGAGCAGAGTACTAATTACCGAATTTTGATTACCTGCATATTCAAAAAGGCTAAATTATTATTTTTCTTGCACCTCCGATACTGGATAATACAGCAAAACTGACTGAAGCCCCAAACCCACAGACTTCTCAGCATTCTTGATTACATATTTTATTACCAGGTGCAATCCAAATAATACTGTACAGACAGATTAAAATTGTACTAAATACAGTACACACAGTGGTGACATACTTGTCAGCACTTAACAGCACTGCAGTAGAGCAGCACCACTGTAGCACTTCAGTGACGACATTTCCTATGCCAAGAGGTGTACTGTAGTTAACTCACCTCCCCAAGAGGTGGTACCTAGACCAGCAGAAGAATTCTCCCATTGGGCTATTGGCACTAGGAGTTAGATCAGTTTAACTGCATCACTGGGGGGCAGAGGGAGAAAGAATTTTTCACATTCCTGACCAGTTATACTAGGACATTAGGTCAATACAGACCAGACCTTATACAGGCTTGGATAAAAATATATGGGTTTTTTTTTTTTTTTGTAAATAAAGGACATAGTATTTTGTTATTTAAACTAGATTTTATTTAAATTGGAGTTCTAGTTAAATTAAATACAGGGTTTTATAAATAAAACTGCTGAAAACTAAATTTAAAGCTGACAACCCATGTTAAAACTAGGGCTGTCAATTAAATGCAGTTAACGCCTGCAATTAACTGAAAACAAAATTAACATGTTAATTTATTTAACAAGTTAATTGCATACCTGCGGGTGGGGAGGGAGGCATGAAGGGGGAGTTGAAGCCCCAGCCCGGCGCTTTACAGAGGTGATGGAGAGGGGGGCGCTAAGGCACTGAGCACAGCTGCAGCCCACAGCCTATTTGAAAATACAGAACCCCCCCAAAATATTTAATAATTGGTAGTCTAGCAGTGCAATTAAAAAATTAATCATAAGTAATCACTGTTTTAATGGCTTGACAGCCCTAGTTAAAACTAAGTCAAACTTTTTATCCACTATTAAATAGAACAAATATATTAAACAATACATGTTTACTGCCAAGTTTGAAAGAAAGTCAGACCACTGAACTGGTGGAAGTCACTGGCTAAGCACGTCAAACTACAATTCGTTGTTTTGCTAAACCAGCTTTTGATGACAGAAGCTCTTCTGTGAGTACAGAGAGAATATTTTCTTCATTTCAGTTCAATGACTGGTTCATTCAATATTAAGAAACTAACTGGTTTCTGAAAAAGCAGGACAGACTGTTTTCCTCTTCCAATCTATGTATAAAAACTAGGTCTGAGAGGATGAGATCTATTAGTTCTAAAATATTATCTGATATGGAGTCAAGAAACAATCTGTTCAATTCACTAACAATACATAATACTTCCTTCAGTAATCAGGAAGTTTTAAATGCACGACAGGTTTTGATAAACATTTTGAGAAATGATTTTGCTTGCGCATCCCATAGTTTGAAAGTTGTATTTAATATAGTTCAAAAAATTGTTGTTGTGCATTTGTCATTGAATTTTAATTTCCACACAAAGTTGGGAAAAAAATCATAAATAAGAAATGCATCGTTCACCATTTTCCAAACTCAAAAAATGTAAAAATTAGAACAAACAGAAAGCTACATAATTACTTAAACGTACACAGATACAGCATGGTCTCCTTGTTTGGAAAAGTATATCATGAAGGCTATATTTAGTTTCAAATCAACATGTTTTAACAATCAATCATTAAATTAACCATTTAAAAACAATTTTAACTAAAAAATCCTATCTTTAAGAAATTAGAAATGCAAAACAATGAAAATTGTTTATTTAAATCAAGGTTTCCTTCTTGTTGATTTAAATAATGATTAAAACCAGTGACTTAAGTCACTTTGATTAAAATCATTTCTTACTTCTACAATGCATCATTATCAAGAGATGTGGCAATTTTGGCCATAATCTCTTACATCAAACTGAGTTATTGCAATCCATTGATTCTTTAAAAAGCTAACAAGCAATAAGACAAATTAACCTGGTGCTGTGAGGAGGTAATAACCACTGCATTTTGTTCATTTTGTCATCAGTGAAACACAAAATACTAAAATGACAAGTCACATTTTTAAGCTATTATCACACAATTATATTGTGAGCAAAATACAGAAACAGCATAAACACTATATATTTCAATTCTGCATTAACTGACATCATGAAAACCAGGATTTCATGAATACGCTTTGTTAAAGAATAGATGTAGCAGTTTTGAGTGATTTACTAATTTGGTTTATTATCTATGAGTGGAAACAATACTAATATCTTTTAAGATCATGCTGTAAGTAGAGGCTATGCAGTTATTAGAATTTTACCACTTCAGCATAAAGACCTTATTTTGATCATCAGTGGCACTTAAGACAGATTTTTGTTACTCCTATTAGAGGCACTAAAATTACATATGCTTACATTTGCCCTCAAACAAGATGAATTGTGAAAATGCATGTGAAGTTCCAATTTTTTTTAATCTCTTAATTTCCTTTTTAGCCTGTAGAGCTTTGACACTACAGAACACGCACACATGTATACCACCTGATAAATGTGAAAGAATGAGATGAGAGCAGATGAAAAAATAATTATGGGCCAAGATTTTATGAAGAAGAGGCAATTGGCAGATACCAATATAGAAACCATGAAAGATTCAAATTGCAGATCTGAAAACACTCAACCTTAGGGTCCAATCCAAAGCCCAAGGTCTTTCCATGGACCTCAATTGCCTTAGGCACTTAAGCACAGAGTTTCTCAAAATGTTCAGTGGACCCGCTCTGGGAAAGCTGCAAGAAGGCCTGCGCCACTTTGGTTACTTAAAGGGTTCTTAGGGAAGTGACGTGGCCATGGTTGCTGGGAAACAGCGAATCAGAGCCAATGGGAGCCGCAAGGCTCAGTGGCTATGGACCCTTTGTTTACCTAAAGTGGTACAGGCCCACTAGCCACTTTTCCAAAACAGGCCTGTGCAACACTTTGAGAAACACTAACTTAGCAGATAATATTGTATCTATAAAAGAAGTGGGGCAATGTCTGTTTGTAACTTGATCTTTTGGATCATTCAGCTGTCTATCATCTAAGTTCCTTGTAATTAAAATGACTCAGGGAAGTTCAAGAATGTGATTATTTCCCCAAAGGCTTGTCCCCACTTCAAAGGCTGCAGCGACAGTGCTTCAGTGTAGATGCCAACTACACTGATGGATAATCCACCATAGCATGAATTCTGTTGATATAGCACAGTCTACACTGGTAATTAGGTCACTATAACTGCGTAGTTCAGGGTTGCATACCCTGGAGTGACGGTTATACTAACGTAAGTTACTAGTGAAGATTACCTTGATCAGGCATTTAAAAATTGCTTCTCCAGCCAGGACCTACTCTATACTTCATAGATCAATGTAAGCTATCTGACGCAGACCTAGTTATAACGTGTTTCAACTTAATTTTGTTTCTCATTGTCCTGTTTACAGCCGTACAGAAACACCATCTCCCCACGCAGTGTTGAGCCATTATCGATGTACTGAAGTCAATGCAGCAGGATTGTAGACCAGGGGGAGGAGGGAAGGGTGGGGAAGGCAGCCTGTGGGCTTGATCTGGCCAGCCAAACATTTTTGCTAACCCGCTATTACCTTCCAGGCTGCTAAAAGTCCTGTGGTGCAGGAGGGCACTCAGACAGGCTGCCCTGCAGTGCCCCTGGCCATGCCACTTCCAGAAGTGGCCTGCTGCTGCTAGCAAGTGTGTCGCTGGTGGGAAGGGGCAGCGGGTCTCCACCTGCTACCTCCAGCTCTATCCTTCCAGATACCATTGGCCAGAAACAGTTTCTGTTACTATGCAGACAATGGTACCTCTGTGTTTTACCTGGAGCAGCTGCCATTACAGCCTCAAGGAGTTTTCCCCTCTACACTTTAGAGCCTCTGAGCAAGATAAGGAGGAGAAAGAAGAGGAGAATTCAAGAGGACATGTTCAATGAGATCCTGCAAGCCAGTGCTACTACAGACTGTGAACAAAGGGGCGCTAGAGGGTGAATACTGCAGACAGCCTGGAGAAGGCAAAAGCAGACAAGGGACAGACCCAGGAGTTCCACAGAAAGCAAAGATGATACACCAGCACATAATGGAGATTCTCTGGTAGCAGAAACAGAGGCTACAGACTCTTGTGAACCTAGAAGTTTATCAGTCATGGGCTTGCCCACATAGTTCTTGCCGAGGTGCATGCCTGCACGGCCGCGCAGCAGCACTTGCCTTCCTGCTGGAAGGCGAGTGGTGTGGAAGGCAG